CATTATCAAAAAGCATTAGTTTTATTTTCTCTTTGCCTGTGCTTTTTTCAGCCCTTAGCACTAGGCCTGGCATATAGTAGGTACTTAATAAATGTTTATTCACTGACTGAAATTCCTTCAGTACCATGTCTGAGATCATGGTTGTTATCCTTGCCATTTATGAGTTTAGCTGAAGCATAACAGATTTTGCTGAAGCCCCATCTTTTTATTCTGTGTGAATCTGCGTTTCAAGTGTATCTCTTCTAAACATCATTATTGGGATCTGCTTTCTTATTCATCCTGCTATCCTCTTTTATTTTATGGATGAGTTAGTCACATTCACATTTACAATTGTGATCACTAATTGTGTTATTTCCACCAATCCTGTTTTCTTATACTTGTTCCTCTCATTGCTTCCCACTGCCTCTTCCAACAAAGAAGAAAAGGGGGATGAATGAGAAAGGAATATGCTTGTGATCGGTGCTCTATATTCAAGGCCCATTGGATAGAGTATTATAGGACTTGGAGTCAGAAGTGCCTGAGTTTAATCTATCCCATCTATCCCAGATGCTAAATAGCTGTCAGACTTTGGAAGAGTCACTTAACCTCTTTAAGCCTCAGTTTCCTCACGTGTAAAAAGAGGATAATGATAACACCTAACTCACAGGATTGTCGTGAAAATCAAATGAGATGACATATGTAAAGTTCTTGGTAAATAAAGTGCTATATAAATACTGTCCCTCTTCTCTTTGTCTCATCCAGACCTCAATTACAGGTTCTTACCCTTTCTTACTTTATTTTTAAACCTTCCGATCCTTATAACATCCCTCTTATCTCCTCCCCTCCCCTCCCCATTCCCTTCTCTTTCCATATTAATTTGTATGTGCTTCTATACCCAACTTTTTGTACGTATACTACCCTCCTTTGACCAGTTTAGATGAAAGTGAGGTTCAGGTGTTGCCAACTACCCCATCCCTTGCTTCTTGTTTTTGTACTCTTCTATTTGTGTACCCTGATTATGTGAGAAATGCTCTTCTATCCTTCCTCTCTCCCTTTCTTCCCTAGTGCATTCTTTTTTACCTTCCTTTCCTCTTTTAATATCATCAAAACATAATACAACCACCCCAGGCTCTCTATTTTATGTGATTCCTGTTGTCAATAGGTTTTTGAAAGGACACTTGTGTAATCTTCTCTTATTAGAATGTAAATCTATCATCCTTATTTGATTCCTTCTGGTTGCACATTCATATTTAACTTTTTATGTTTCTCCTTTATGATTATGTTCAGTTTTTGCTGGATGAGTTCTTCTTGATTATAAGCCCTTATCGTTTGCCTTTTGGAATAATGTACTCCAAGAATCAGCCTCCATTATAATCATAGCTGCTAAATTTTGTGTGATCTGGTCGTGTGGTTTTTCATTACTTGAATTCTTTCTTTCTGGCTGTTTCTTTTCTGTGATGTGGAAGCTGTGTTTTTTTCTATGGCATTCCTGGGTATTTATGCTTTGGGATTTCTTTCTTGAGGTGACCAGTGGATTCTTTCTATTTTCACTTTGCTCTCTGTCTTAGAGATCTGAATAGTTTTCTTTAATAATTTTTTGCAGTATGAGGCCTACCCTCTTTTTTTTTTTTTTTGGTCATGGCTTTCAGAGAAGTCCAGTGATTCTTAAGTCATCTGTCCATGATCTGTTTTCCAGGTTAGTTATTTTTGACATGAGATACCTTATTTTTTTCTTCCACTTTTCCTTCTCTTTTGACTTTGTTTTAATATTTCTTGTTGTCTATGGAGTCATCATCCACTCTAATTTTGAAGGAGTTTGTTACAAAATAGGTAAGGTTTAGTACCTTTTGTATGAAACTATTAATTCTTTTTCTAGTTCTTTCCTCTAGCACTGTCATTAATTAAATTATTTTTCTTTTTTTTTTTTTTTTTTTGTCTTGCTTCCTCCCAGGAGTTTAAGTTTACTTTATGTATAGGATATGTTTTTCTTTGAGGCTTTGCTTGTAGGTATTTTAGAGAATTTTTTTGGGCTTTGTTTTGGGGGGTGTGTGTGTGTGTGTGTGTGTGTGTGTGTGTGTGAGAGAGAGACAGAGAGAGAGAGACAGAGAGAGAGACAGAGAGACAGAGAGACAGAGAGAGAGAGAAAGAGACAGCACATTTATGTGCTCTTCTGGATTTGTGTCTTTGGTATCCTGGCATCATAATAGCTTTTACTGGTGAGAATCTTTGCTTTTTGGTTTTCTTATTCTTCTAGCCTTACTTCCTGGGACTTTGTGTTCAGGTCAGGCTTTGCAAACTTTTGGGCCTTTCTGGAGAATGTCTGGGCCTTTCTTGGCCCTGCTTTTTATTCTCTTTGGTCCTGTGGCTGCTGTCTTCTGGGATCTCAGTCACATCTCATTTTGGAGCCCTGAAAACTTTTGGTGCCCCCAAAAGTGCCCTGATTTATTGCAAAGTTTGATCATTGCTTTCCTGATCTGAACTTTGACCCATTTGGGTTAGAGTGATACCACTTTTAGTTTGCCGCTGGTTGGAACTCTCTTAAATTCCTGTTGGCCTCATCTCCTGTTAGCTAGCTGGAAGATTCTGCTAGCTCAGAGTGCAGACCTACAGGCTCCACCTTGGTCTGAGCTCCCTTACTTTTTACTCAGCTTTAGGTCTTTAGACCTGTTTGAGTTGCTAATTGTGAGATCCTGATGTAGGATCAGTCTCTCAGCTGCTGTTCATGTTTCACTCTTGCCCCTTGCCCAGTCCACAGCTTCTGGTCGATCACTCTCATGACCTCAGACCTTGGTTTGCAGTAGCAGGACTGTAGCTCCTTAAATGCAGATCTCCTGTAGGACACACTGCCTCTGTGACCCAACTCTGGTCTATACTATATAACTGCCAGCTGGATTCTGCTTCTGCTTCCGGAACAGAGTCAGTTCCTGTCCTCCAGGATCTTCTACCTTTTCTTGCCCTAGAACATACCTACAGGCTCTAGATCATTACCCAGGCTAGAAACCTCTGCATGATTCTTTCTTGGCTAGGAAGTTCTCTGTGCCTGCAGACTTTTGTCCATCTCCCTATGCTGACCAAGGCTGAAAAATGACTCACTGTTTTTTTCCTTGTATTTCTAGGTCATGACTCTGCCTAGTGTTCCTTCTGGATCCTTGTTGGAACAGTTATGGGGGAGAGATGGGTTGTAGTGCTTCCCTCCACTCTGCCATCTTTGCTGGTCTGGCATTTTATTTTAAATACCACTAAAGTACACAGACTGTTTGACCCAGTGATGCTACTACCAGGCATCTGTATCAGGAGGTCAAGTAGAGAGTGAAGGGTCCAAAATATTACATAATATTTATAACTATACAGAAGTATAGCAGCTCTCATTGTAGTAAATAACTAGGAAAAAAAGTGGGTACCAATCAATTAAAGAATGGCTAAGAAAAGCTATGACTCATGAATATAATCAAATATTATTGTGGAGTAAGAAATAATAAATATGAAGAATTCAGAGAAATGAGAATACTTGAGTGAAGTGATGCCAAGTAAAGTAGGCACAACCAGGAGAACAATTTACACCTTGAGCACAGTAATAGAAAAGTAAATGTGGAAAGTCTTTAGAACTCTGATCAATGCAATGGCCATTTGCACTTTCAGGGAATTAATGTTGGAGCGTACCCTCCCTCCTGCCTCTTGGCAGAGAAGTGGGGGACTGGAAGTGCAGAATAAGTTATACATTGTCAGATAAAGCCAATGTGTTGATTTGTTTTGCTTGACTTATTTGTTACAAAAGGAAGGTTCTGTGTTGGTCTTGTGAAGGGAACAGAGGGGAATGATTGAGAAGGCATGATGATGTAAAATAAGAAAACATATCAACAAAATATTTCAAACAATGCCATATAGTCCTAAATCACAAAGTAAATGTGACCTATCATCATTATCTCATCTTTACCATCCCCAGACCCAAACATTTTGCACGTAAACATCCTCACCCCATTACATACAAACATGTTTCCACGATATTTACCATCACTTCCCAAGCACACAATCCAGGTCAAAAATGAGCAAAGAAAGAAAGAATTCCTCAAGTGTGGAGATATACGCTGGACATTTTCTCATGCAGTGAAGAAAAGTACATGATTGAAGGGTTTGGGTAACAGCACAGAGTCAGTTTCTATGTATCGATGAGTCCCAGGTTGAAGAATATTTTTGACAGTGTTGGCATATGAATTTCAAAAGTTATATAGATTTCAATATTGAAATCTCTCCCCTCCAGACCCAGACTCCTTCAAAAACCATCCTGACATGCCCCACCACCAATTTTTCTCTTAGGTGAAAGGGATCTCACTTTCCTCTCATTTCTCATAGCATTCTCCATGGACTCCACTTTTGGATTTAGCTCACTCTTTTAATAGTTAGGTTGCCTTGGGCAAATTTTATAACCTTTCTGAGCTTTGTTTCCTCATCTGTAAAATGGGGCTAATTATACTCCTACCAGCTCCCTCATATGGTTGTTGTAAGGGAAGCATTTTGTAAACCTTAGAGTGTGATATAATTGGAGGCTGTCATTATTATTGTTAACTCTGTGCTCTGTATTGGTCAGACACAACATTTTATTTCTCTTCTTCCATCTACTTCTTGTAAGATTGGTCCAGAATTGTGCTTTCTATTGCCTTTGAATTTAAGTTGGACTTGTCATGTCTGGTGTTCTTGCCCATCTGAGCCATTGGAAGATAAATACTGGCGCTAATGAAAAAAAAGACAGCATATGGCTCTCGATACTAAAATTTTATTTTGTAGGTAAAATATTTCTAGCCAAGTGACTCTGCTCCCTTTGGTAGAGAAGGAGTTAACAGGTTAGCTCCCCTTGGTCATCCTCAGCATGGCTTCTTGCCTTTCAGAACTGCCAAGATGCTCACATTGTGCCTGGACATGTCGGTGTCGAGGTTAGGGTCCTCCTGAGGGTTCTGCAGCTCACTGCTCAGCAAGCTAGAACATGCTTGTCCCTGATTTCCTTGTTTTTCTTTCAACCCTTTCAGTGCCCTGCAGGAGTCATTAAATCAGAACTTCATGCTGATTGTCACCCATCGAGAAGTCCAGCGGGAGTACAGCTTGAACTTCTCGGGAAGCAGTACCATCCAGGAGGTGAGTTCTGTCTCACAGCTGAGGAAGAGAAGGAGCTCATTAGAGCTCATGTTGACCCTGTTAAAGAGGGCTTCTCTCTTCTGGCTGGAAACTCTCTTTATGTTTCATTACTGGGCTCTTAATTTTAATTAACTGGAGCATCAAAGATTACTGTAGATAAACTAAATGACCTGACCTTCGAAGGATAGATGGGAGCTCTTGATAATTCTTAAAATACCCCATTTAATGTTATAGAAAAGGAAGTCATTTAAATGTGATGAATTTTATAATTTAATAGTGAGTAAATAGTAGAAATATTCATTAGAAGAGTTGAGAGAAAAGTCATTTGTTGACAGGTTATCTTTTAGAGAATGTTTCCTCCTCAAATTTGGGTTACTCAGCATGCACTGAGGGGACAGGGGAAAGGGGTGCTGATAATTTATAGGCATGGCATCATTTCCAGCTTCAAAATGGCCAACCAGAGCCACTCTTAAAAAGAAAACCCCCCCTTCCTAAAGAGAAGCAGGAACCCTGGGTGTGCACATGAACCCGCCGTGCTGAGCACCAGAAATCTGCCACCGTGTGCAACTGACCAATGTGTGGCATAGGATTCCAGATTGTAAGTGACAGGCCACATTGCCTTTCTGGACCTAAATCAGGCTTTTAACCGTAGGTATTTCTTAGACCAAATAATGCGCAGGGTGGTGGTTGTGAGGAGTGCTTTGAGCCAAGGCTCAGTAAACTACTGGTGGTATATCAGATGATAAACACTAAAAGCAATGCTATTGCTAAGGATTGCCTGATTCCCCCTGAGATTGATGGGCTCTTTTATGCAAGGAACCGAAGTCGAAGTGCTATTTGTGTCATTTTGCCCTTGTTCCCAGTGACCAGACTTCAACCTGGGAAATGGGTAGAAGTAGATCAAGCTCCTGTGAACTTTATTTGTATAATTTCTTTCTGTATTTTAAACAGATTATACGGGCAAGTAAATTTAAATATTGATAGCATTAATCAATTATTAACAATACTACATTCTAGGTTTTTTCATGTGTGTGGATTTTTTTTTTTTTGGTGGTGGGAAGGAAGGAAGGCTGTAAAAATAAGCAGTGTCACTTCTGACCTGCATGGTGGATCTTTTCTTTTCCTGACTTTAGAATATTCTTGTTCAAAGCCCCCATTACATTGCAGCTACCAGGATGAGGTAGCTGTAGTTAGGTGTTCCTCAAGTGCTGTTGGTGGTCAGAGTATATTGTTTTTTTAAAACAAAGGAAATAAAATTTCAGTATAATCTAGAAGCTCCTGTATCAGTAACAGAAGTGGAGAAATGTAGTGGCAGATCTTATGGTGGCCTTGATGGGTTTTTCTGAAGAGCAGTACATTTAATATGAAAAGGCTTGAACAGTTCTTGGTGAATAATGGGATCTTTGAAGGATATGGTTATGTTCATTGCTTCTTCCTGTTAACATTTCATATCACACACCCACAAGATGAAAATAAGTTAAGGTTTCTTTGATTGAGAAATCCAAATGCCCAAGTGGTGAATAGTGAACATGATAAAGAACTCAAGTTGATTTTATTCTCTTTGGGTATTCCCACAGGTTCGTAGGACTGAGGGGTGCAAGGAACCTTAGAGTTTTCTGGTCCAACTCATTCATTTTGCAGAGGAGAAAGCCTCGAGCTGGGCAGAGAAAGGGACTTACTTGCCCAGGGAGGCACAGGGAGAGAGAAGAGCTTGGCAGTGAAATCAAGCCGTAGGGCTTGACATCTCTTCCCATTGTGTCTCATTTGAGACAGAGTTCCTTTTCTCTTGGGGAACATCATAGAGAGTTCTTCCTTTTTCTTTTTTATTGAAAGTTCCAGAGGCTTAGGTTGGTTTTATGATTTACTTTGGTATTTTACCTATCATTTGTCAGAGATGCAACTTCTTCCCACAAGGGGGCAGAAAGGACTCTCCCTCAGATTGTCTACAAATGCCATCGAGTGCTTTCAAATGAGCTTCTCTCCTATTAACAAAAAGGAGCATAATGGCCAAGTTATTGTTTGATTTACAGATAATTGGCATATTGCAGGAAGGAGACTTAATTTCACCCTTTTAAATTAAACAGGGAGATTTAAAAAGACATAAAATATTCATTAATGTTCGGTGATTATAAAGTAGTGGCATATATTTATTTTTCCTTTATTACTGTTTCGATGGGAAAATACTGCAAATATTTCCGAAATCGAGTTGGCCATACTGACAAGTTGAAATGTTTAAGCAGTGTTAATGCAATCTGCTCACACCTGATATCCTATGCAGAAGGATTCAAAATGACTCCATTAATTATTAAAAGAAATATTTAAAATTCTATAAATGTACCATTGTTCGCCACAGTTGGATGCAACTGTCTCTCCAGGGCTTGGTGTTTGGATTGTCACATATATTTTTAGGCTGCAGTGACTTTAAAGTCATAAATATTTTTTCAGACTGTTTTCCAAGTATGGTTTACCAGTGGTTTCTGGAACAGTTTTGCAAGGAGAGAGAGCCTTCATTATTCCACAGTGTTATCTCTTTACCAGGGCTTCAGTTTTTCCACAGAGTTTTAAAATATTTCAGATTGTGCCGGCCATAGCTAAGAAGTGGAAAAGCCTGTGTTGTTTCCAACTTGTTCCTTCCTGTCCACCACCATTCTAGGAGTAAACAGGTGCTTTTCTTTCTCTTACCCGTTTTATACAGTGAACGATTTTGCAGGATATAGCACCCGGTGATCTTCTAGTCTTGTCCAGCAATTTTGAGGCGCCTCTTTGGGGAGTCACTGATGGTTTTCCATGAACTTCTATTACGCAGAAGCCATAGCCACAGGCTTGGTAGGTAGGGTCAGAGCTAAAGCGCAGCCATTTCTGCTACAAGACCGAATCCCCGCTAGATTGGTGTGAAACCAAATAGAACCTTGGGACTCATCTGCTGTTTTATTGTGTAGCTAGCTCATGGGTGTGTTTTATATTATTGACATGGAGACATAATGATGCTCGATTTCCTAAATTACAGATTATGCTGTATCATGTTCCAGGAATCTGCTTCCTTTCATCTTAGCCTGGTACAAGTTTTCATTGTAGTGTTCACTATTTGGACACTCCGTTATGGAAGGCCTTTACGTTACATTGGAAGGCAGGTCTGGTTTTGAATGGAATTTCTGTTCTGTGAAATACAACTGAAGGATGAAGGCATGTTTGATCACCTGTTTTTATGAGGTGTGACAATTGTGGACAAACAGTGAGGTAGAGAAATGGAGGCACCAAAGTGCTTTGATTCTGCAGCCATATATGTTCATGTAAGTTGGCTCGGATAGAGCACAAGCAAGGAGAGTTGTTGCTCTGAAGAGCTATCTGTAAGCTATTGTCTGGGAAATCCCTAAGTGGTTGCAACTCCGCTCTAGGATTCTGTTTCAGCCAAGGAGATGATGAAGTGGGCTCCTCTCAATTGAAGCTCTTTAACACGTTTCCTTGCTTTAATTTATTTGTTCATTTAAAGTCCTAGGGATCCTTGTCAAGGAGAAGGGAATAAAATGGGGATACCAAAGAGGACAGAAGAGAGGGGGAAAGAAGTTTTGACTGGCCCCAAGAAAAAATACTTTTTCCTCCCCATCATTTTGTCAGTAGCATCTGCTCTAAAGTAACCAAATAATGTAAAAATGTAAAAATGACTGTGAATCCTTGATTCCTTCAGCACCTTATCTGTAGTTCACTTAAAACCAGTTAACTTTAATGGAAAATGAAAATAAGCCCAGCATATTTGAATGAATTTGCTCTGGTGAGGAGAAATGACAAGATATATTTTTCATTATCACAGTATTAATGGATTTTACTGGTTGCAATCAAATGCATTTGAGTTGGGTTAAAAATGTAATTTGCATAATCCCAAACCCCAAACACAGGTGGGGAAAGGGAATGATTAGTGGCCCTAAAATCTAGCCAAACTCTTCTTGGAAACTGACCAGTTGTTGTCTGTCTTACTACTGCAAAGGCCAGAATAGCAGGCAAAATCTGCCCCTATTTCCATCTGCTATTGGCCAACTACGTGCACCCAGTGGGGTCTCACCCAGAGACCCCGAAGTATCTCTGTTGTAGATTGGAAAGTATTCTTTTGTCATCTCTGCTAATAAGGTCTGTAAGTCATTGCTGGAAAGAGCTGAATACTTGAAAAGTTTCATTCCCCACAACCCCCAGCAATATCACTATTCATACTTGATATTTATTTAGCTTATCATAATAAAAACTGACCCATCTAAAGGTATCTCTTGTACTCTTCTGGGACACATTTTCCTTATTGGGAACTTGTCTAACAAACCAACTCACAAGTCAGTAATTGTTCAAGTGAGGATTAAAGAGAGACAGCAAAGGTCAGAAATCTGCAACAAGACAAGTACTTTGTACATGAGTCATATTTGTCAGTCATCATCTGTGCTAAAGAATTATACTGTGATAAGTTAGACTAACCCTTAATCTGGAAAGAAAAGCCTCCCATGGTCCAAATTGGGAGAGGGTGTTTTGTTTATGATGTGTCTCTGCAACCCACAGACTATTTTAGGCCCCATTCCCTCTGGGTGAAAATTTTGCCCAAAGCTTTAATATTTATTTTTACCTTCATGTTTATCACCAGTCTTTCAAATTATATGTGTAAGGCTACATAAACTGTGGTTTATTATATGTGTAATAACACATAAACTGTGGAATCTAGTATCTGAGAGTACTTTTATAAGAGCTGATTTGAGCTTGAATCAGGGTTTGCAAATGCTTTATGGACCATTGTGTGTGTGTGAGAGGATAGCAGGGTAAAGGTGCTGCAGTCTAGTTGGAAAGTTTCAAGAGACGTGGCTGTATCAAATGAGATGCCCCTAAATTAGAGGGGCATTAGATTAGAATTAACCGATTTTCATGGGTATATTTCAAGAACTGATTTTTTAAAAAACCATTTAAAATCGTGAAGGCTGCCTTGGCAAGAAGACAAGTAGTTTTTCTCACTTCAGCTCAGGGTGATGGAT